TGATAAGTGATATGTAATTCTCAACTCTGAGCTTCGCCTCCCACCCCCACCCCAAGCGATGGCCTCACCTCATACTTCATTCAGAAAGTGGGAGCCTTCAGATAGCAACTCGCCGTCTGTCTGTCCACCACCCTGGCCGCAGATCTCCTCGTGCCCGTGTCCAGCTCTACCTCCCCTCAGCCTCCCTCTTGCTCCTGTCAGAGGCCAGTCTGTTCACGCAAGTCCATCTGATCGCCTTTCACCTTCTCAGTGGCTTCCCGCTTCCGTCCCCCCTCCCACCCCGCATCACCGATCTTGTCCTCCATGTTGGCCACTCCCACATATAACATAGGCACGAGGTCTGGAGCGCCTGTGGGGTTGAGCAGAATCTCCCCTGGCCCCTCCAGGGGCCCCATTTTCTGCTTTCTTCAGCAAGCTTTGATGAGTTGTCTACAGTTCCCACCCCGTTCACTCCTGTCCTCATTCCAGAATGGCTCCCCTCTGCCACTCTGCTGACATTGCTTTCCTCAAGGTCACCAGCAACCTCCATGGGGCCAAATCCAGTGGGCACCCTTCTGTTCCCATCTTTCTCAGCGTGCTAGGAACCTCTCCTTCCTCCTCCAAGCAGTTTCCTCTCGGCTTTGGTGACACATCCCAGTCCACTTGACTAGGCTCTTCTACTGATTTCTGGGCATTTGGACTGGGACCCCTCTGCTCTGTTTTCTCTACCCTTTCTCCTTAGGTGAGCTCATCCAGTCTTGTGGTTTTAGGTATTATCTCTATGTGCATGACTCCTGCATTCTACTCTTACCCCCAGGTGCTTTCTCCAGCTGCCTGATTGACCCTTGGATGACTCTCTCACTGGCCCCTCAAACATAATCAGTGCAAATCCAGGCTGTTAGTGCCACTCCCTTCCCAGAAACAAACCAAACAAAAAACTCTACGTGGTGAATGGTACCGTCATCTACTTAGGTGCTAATGTCAGAAATGTGCTAAAGAATTATTCTTGATTCTTCTCTTAGACCACAATTCCATCTTTTTTTTTTTTTAATGGGGTGACTGTGTTTTTTTCCAGGAACATCAGCTTCAAGTCAAGTCGTTGTCCTTCAGACTAGTTGTAGAGGGCACAGCTCAGCTCCAAGTCCAGTCACCATTTTCAATCTAGTTGCAGGGGGCGCAGCCCACCATCCCATGTGGAAATCAAGCCAGCAACCTTGTTGCCAAGAGCACGTGCTCTAACCAACTGAGCCACCCGGCTACCCTCAATTCCATGTTTCAACAAGTCCTACTGCAGAAGTAGAAAATTCTAAAATATGTCACATCACTCTATGTCTCATTATGTTGGCTGCCATGGTCCTGTCCAAGCCACCAACTTCTCTCACCTGGTTGTGGACTGTCATTTGGCCTGTTTGCTTCTCGGGGAAGGTATGGAGAGAATGGGGTAATAGAACTCAGTTTAACCCCATAGCAGGAAGCTGTGGGGAGTGATGGAAGACCCCTGAGCCTCAGGTATTTCTATGTTGTTATTTTGAAGTAAGCTTCCCCAGTTGATAATTAATGGCACTTTTGTTGTCACTTCCTTCCAAAGTAAAAAACACTCCTCACCCTCTGCCCCTTCCAGGACACACAGGGGTTTCCCCTGCAGCAGCACTAATGGTCAGCCAAGTGCAATCATTAGAAACACTGCAAGGTGTGAAGATAAATGTTTCCTCTTAGGGGGAAATGCATCTCCATTAGCAGCCGATTATGACAGTCTCGGGAATGAGAGCCTCTGCAGTGGGTGGTTTTAACTGGCCTCTGAGAAAATGTGTAGATGACATATTCAGACTCTCTCTAGGTGTGTTTGGGGCTGGCCTGGGACAATGCAGGTATCCTGATGGCTTATGGCGCCTCGCAGAGCTCTGGCACCAGAGGGCGGCACGGGAACTCCAGCAAGTTTGGGCACCAGTGTTATGTATAGCTGTTATGTATTAAGTGCCTACTGCGTTCTGGACATTTGTGTGATGCACTTTACATCCACTGTCTAACCCCTGGATTTAGGGAGTGTTTCCCTCGCTGCACGGAGTGGGGAGCTAAAACCCCAAGAAGTTAAGCAAGCTGCTCTCATATCCTGTAGCTCATCAATACAGAGCTGTGGTTTGAACATGAACTTGGGCACCTCTACAGCCTGTGTCCAGAAGCATTGCGCTGTGTCACCACCCTTTCCCTTGTTACATGATTGACCCGTACAGTCCAGCCATTCCTTAGCACGTCGTTGGACCACTTGCCTCAGGGTTCAGGCAGCGGTTTGAGCAGTCCTTTATCCCCCAGGCCAAGGGAGGGGAAATGCTGCTGATCCCCAACTTGCATACATTTATAGGGGCCCTTGTGACCTCTCGGGATGTTTTCTGAGCCTTGAAAACTATCTGGTAATTTCTAATCCTACAGGGACCCTTGGGAACTTGTTGGGAGGGCCTGCTAGAAGGACCGCCGTACTGCTCTGAATGCCTTTGACCAGAAAAGAACCTCCTCTCCCAGCAAAGGCCCTGGGAGGAGCACTCACTGGGGGTGCAGAGGAGGGGACCCCCAGGCACCCACATGAGCTGGGGGAGCCCTCGGGACCGCTGGAGTGGCAGATGTCACTATCAGACTGGCTGCACAGCAGACATTGAATCTTCCCACTGTACATCCTGCCTTCGCTCTGGTTGGCAGGATTTGGCCTAGGAAGGCAGTTTTGGAAGCTGTTTGCTCCCCTGTCTGGGTGGCAGGTGCTGGAGCAGGGGGACACGCCCACTTCCCTGTGTTCTCCCCGGGGAAATGGCATGGAGGGGGCCTCTGGGTGGTCCCAGCACCAGCTAACTGTTGCCAGTGCCTGTTCCTCTCTCTCTCCCTCCACCTCTCCAGCCACCCCTTCCTTCTCCTGCTGCCTCGCTCCTCTACTGGGATGCTCACAGCTGCCACTGGAGACAGTGGATTTGACAAGAGCCCTACAGAGTGGAACTGGAAATGGATCAAATGATGGGACCCCATGGCCCTGGGCACTTCCTTGGAAGGTGGCTGCCAGGACGGGAGATGCCAGGGGCAGTGAAGTTCCTCGGCTTTAAACTCAGAGCTTCTGTCCTGACGGCCAGTGTCCCCCTATGGGGGGGTGGGGGCAGTCACCTGACAGCCACCATTCATGGAGCACCCCAGAGCCTGTGAGCCTCAGACCCTTTCCTGCCCCCTGTGGGCTGCCCCCTGGGCTGCTGGCTTTGTCCAGAGGGAGACTGGAGGGCGGGCAGATGGAGAAGCCAGGCGTTTTGCCCCTACCCTCTCTTCCCTGGGCCCCCGCCAGCAGTGTCTGAGTTCCCTCAGCTCCAGTTCCCTCAGGACACAACCGTGTGGTTCCAATCCTACTGGGGACCCAGCAACTAGGACCCCTTCACTCTGCCCACCCAGGGGTCTGGGTAGCGACTTCCTGCTTCTGCTAATCTCAGGGGACCTCATTATCCTGTTGGCTTTTCCATCACCCACAGAAGCAATTACTTTACAGTCCCTCTCCTTAAATACGCTGGTCCTGGCTGACCCTGACTGCCCGCTTCCTATGTTAGCTTTGAACTAGGCCCTTTCCAGCCTTTCGCAGAATAACCCTCAGGCACTCCCGTTTCACAAATGAGGACGCTGAAGCTCAGAGGTGAGAAGCAACTTGTTCAGGGTCACTCCGCTGGGGAGAAGTCAGGCCCGAACTCAGACCCAGGCCCGCCTGGAGCCAGCCTGAGCCCTGCCCACGCCTCTCCTCGCTTCTGAAGAACTTGACGTCTCTGAGTTTCTGTTTCCCCATCTCTAAAAGAGCCACTAAGATCTATGTTAGAGAAGGTGTCTGTGAAAAGCCTCTCACCCCCATGCCTTGGGACACCTCCACCGCGGTGGCCCCACTAAGTGGGACACCCATGTTGTTACCCAGCCCCATCAGGCACATATGGCCGCCGGTGAGTTCTGCCATGATTTTCTGTGGCCTTCCAGGGGCCAGTGTGGAGTGGGCAGCCCCACCTGTGGACGTGGTCTATGTGTGGGTGAGCTGGGAAGGTGCCTGTGGCCAGGGCATTTGGGTACCCACCCTTGGGAAGGGGCTCAGAAGTTCTCGTTCTCTCTCTCTCTCAATGTTTTTAGTGGTTTCCACAGGTGTGGGTTTGACCCTGACCTTGGTAGAGTTTGTGCTTTGATTGTTCCTTGGAGAATGTGACGTGCCAGTGGCAGCTCTGAGTCCATCTCCAGGAAAGATAGCTCTTTGTGGAGCAAGATGAACAAGGACTGAATCCACAAAAGCCATCTTTTGGGGGCACAGAGGCCTTGCAACCCAGAGTGCGGGCTCAAAAGAGAAAACTGAAAACCACGTTTTTCTTCCCCTAAGATCATAGCATATCAGGGTCAGAAAAACTGTAAAACATCACTGAGGACAGAATAAGCTTCCATTTTACTGAGGTAAAAATCAAGGCTTAAATTGGTTACGTGTCCTGCGTGAGGTCACTGAGAGTGTTGGTGGCAGAACCAAGCCCCCAGCACCCACAACTCAGTCCCCACTGGCCAGGGCGCCTATTTTGCCACCGGCCAAACCCCATCAGGGCATTTGAGAATCGGGTTAGGGACACCCCCAGGGGATTGGGACAGTCCCAGATTACTACCATAGCCACCGAAAGAGGCTTGGGATAGCTGTTCCTTTCAGTAAAATTTTGTGCATAAATATCTTAGTTTTATTTACTAGGTTGTCTGGCACATAATGGCATGCATTATTAATCGAGTAGCTTCATATTATCTGGTAAATAGGCATACTCTTTGCAGTGTGAAAGGAACCTCTTTTACGATGTACTTTACAAGACCACATGATAGCAGCTCGTGCTCAGAATATTAGAGTGGGCTTCCCATGAAAATACAGAAGAAGGGACAGTCTGGTGACAAATGTGTAAGCACATCTCTCGGGAAGGCCTTCTCCCGGCCCGATCGATGTTTTGAGGGCTTCGCACTGGGGGAGCGTGTGGTACTGAAACTTTTATTCTCCCCCACTGCCCAAGTTTGCCCGCTACCTCCAATGGTGAGTCACGGCGATTTCATCTGCCACCCGCGGCCGTGTGATCGCTACAATCACGGAACCGTCGTGGAGTTCTACTGCGATCCCGGCTACAGCCTCACCAGTGATTATAAGTACATCACGTGCCAGTATGGGGAGTGGTTCCCTTCCTATCAAGTCTACTGCATCAAGTCAGGTGAGTGCGTCGAGGACCTCGCCCTGGCCGGCCGGTGCATGGTCAGACTGCACACAGTGGCCGGAGGCTATGTCCGGAGCCCCATGTCCCGTCCCCACACACGGTGTTAGCAACAAGATATGGAAACAGGATATGGATCTATGCAGCTAATGAGGGTCTGGAGCACTAACCTGCCTGTCCCCAGGTTACAATGCTGACCCTCTGAGCAGGGTCCCTTAGGCCCCAGCACCCATGGGAGGACCTCCACTCTGTGCACAGTCTTCTCCCAGTTTTGTCCCCTTCCAATGGCAAGGACATATGTATCGCTTGGGTCACACCCATGGGCCTAAGTCCACCTTTCTCTTCCACTCCAGGATGCACCTCTGAACACAGGTAGTTATTGTGGGTAGGACCGCCAGTCACTTAACAAAATCATGGGCAATTTGCATCCTTCAGTGCTTCCTAGTTAATAACATGTTACTAGCAAATCAACCTCACCGTTGGTCTCAGGGCACCGGGGTAGTGACTGCACGGCAGCGACCTGGGCACCAGCGCACACCCACCCATCATCTGCCCACCCCGGTCCTGCCAACTCGCCCTGGTGTTCTCCAGGCTAGCCCGTGCCTGCCTGCCCTGAGCAGCGGTGATAGCTGCAGTTTTCCCCCTGGACACAGCATGTTGTGGGGGGACCCTGTGTTTATTCACACGGGGCATCTGGAGGCCCACAGGTGGTCGTGTGAACCAGTGAACAGAGGGGGGCAGAGGAGGTCTATGAGGATGCTTCTGAGGGAAGGGAGTGGAGGGGGCGGCGGCAGCCATGGGGTGAGGGGGGCGGGGAGAGAGTGTAAGAGACAGGGTGGCTTGTGCCAAAGGGACAGGAACCTGTTGTGGAAGGGTCAGCCCGTGCGTCCCCTTACCTGGCAGACACGACAGCCAGAGGTGGTGAGGGGGTCAGAGCCATGGAGCAACCGTGGCCCTTCTAGCCTCAGTCCCTTTCCTCACCCAACCAACAGTCTGTTCCAGAGCCCTCGCAAAGGGCTTCAGCCCCTTCATGCTCTGCCCAAGAAGCAGATACAGTATCGACCCCCACGCCAGGCTCTCACCCCAGACCTGCAGTGTGCAGCTCTGTCTTCAGTCTGGCAGAGAACATCCTGGAGACCGTTTCTACTGCTGTGGTCCTGATGCCATGTGACACGAGCCGGCTTGGGGAGCACCGGGAGGCACGTGATGAGCTGCTCATGTGCTGGAAAACTCCAGCACACGGGCACGGGGGGACCTTCGCGCCCATCACAATCCGGGACCTTCACGCACCGCTTTCTTTGTTCTCTCTCGGCAGAGCAAACGTGGCCCAGCACCCACGAGACCCTCCTGACCACATGGAAGATCGTGGCATTCACAGCGACCAGCGTGCTGCTGGCGCTGCTGCTCGTCATCCTGGCCAGGATGTTCCAAACCAAGTTCAAGGCCCACTTTCCCCCCAGGTCGGTGCTGCCCGCAGCCGCCCGGGCGGGCTCAGTGCAGCCACCGTGAGCCATAGACAGACGAGAGCCAGCCCGCCCCTCAATGAGTGCAGAGCTGCGGTTCTAAGGGAGAACAGAGGGAAGAGCTGAAGACCCTTTCCTGGGGTATCTGGGGGTGTCTGGGGGTCACAGCACCAAGCTGGAAATGGACTTCATTTCCCTCTTTTGCCCGCCCCCCCCCCTCTTGTGAGCCTGTGTCTCCCTCCTTCCCTGGACACACCAATCTCAAGGGGCGTCGTCAGGCATGCCGAGGGAAGCTTAGTGTCAGGGCTGCACACTGTGAACTGTCCCCCAGGAACGCCATGCCGTTGCTGCCTATGTGCACGTGGCCCTGGAGTGACGTCCCTTGGAGCTTCCAGTCCACAGGGAGGATAAGGAATATACAGAGCTACTTAGGAGTCAAGGTCACAGGTGTGTGACCCAACAGAGGTCCACAAACAGTGTGCGATGGGTGGTCTCAGGAAGGAGGAACGGATGCTGGAGGGGAGGTCAGGACAGGGCTCGTGAGCATCTGAGCCTGTGGAGTGGGGCCTGTGGAGGGCGGCTCTCCCTCGTCCTCAGCTGCACAGATGAGGGTGGGTTGGCGTCTTCATCCTCCCCGTCGTCATTCCCATAGAGGACGTTGTCACACTCTCACGGGCTGGGCTGGCCCTCTCAGTGCCCAGAGCAGCCTGTGGCCCCTTTCCCGTTTGGGACAATGACACCACCCAGCCCTGCTGCCGGCAGATCATTGTTCTAGAAGGTGATGTTGTTTAGAAAGCAAAGGCTGGGTTTGTGAACATTAGGAAAAGGAGGGCCAGACACCAGATGCCACAGGACACTGTCACCTGTCACCAAGGAACCATCATTATTTCCTTGATTCTGTGCCCACATCAATCTCCTCCTTTTGAGACCTGATGCATCAGAGAAGAACACTTGTTTTTGAGTCTAGCCCACAGGGTCACGCGTGCCTCCCCCTAGAAAAGAGAATATTGCTCAGTGGAGAGGAGGATCTTGGAATTAACCACGTCCCCTTCTTCCCTCCAGGGAAAATCCAGGTGTGTCTGTCACACCTCCTAGCTCTGCAGTGTGGAGTTGCTAGAGACAGCACCTGCCTGCCCACCGTCTCCCTTAACCTCGTGGCCCCTGGGATGGCCTCAGCTCATTTAGCAATGCTCCCCCACTTGGCTGCAGGGACCCCACAACCTGACAGGCACCCCACTCTCCCAGCCACGGAAGTGTGCTAGGTGTGGGGGCCGCCTGCCTCCCTCTCCAGGCTCAGAGTACATCATTGCCGTCCTGGGGCCAGAGCCAGAACGTTTTTTCCTCTCAAGCCTGCCATCCGCTCTCTCGGTCCCCAGCATTATTATTTATGAATCAAGGGACCATGTTCTATCATTGAGCAATTACACTACCTAAAATGGGACTAAGGATTACAAAGAGGAAGCGAAACTACATATTGTGATTTATTGTGCATTGGAGTCTGTTAAACTGGCCCGTAGAGCTATTTTTCTATATATGCTTGGGAGAAAAGTTATAGCGACTAAATATTAAGACTTTAAAAAGTGTTCTCCAAAATTCTTTCACCTGATTTTTTTTTAATCCCTCAATTATTTCCATCTGATATTATGTTCTAGTTGGTTTGGAAACATTGGTCTCATCTACCCAAATAGATAACATTCTCAAGGGCAAGCCCAGAATAGCTTGTTTTGTTTTGTTTTCTCCACGTTCCACAGGTGTAGACACGGAAGAGATGCTTGATGACTATGTATGCGGGAGCTGAGTGTCATGGCTGGGACACAGGTGGAGAGACTGGCCACTTATTAGCCACTCTGGTTACTTTAAGAGGACAGGAGCAGAGAGATGCTCAGACAGAGCTGGGCTCATATCCACCAGGCTCAGATGTGCAGGGTGACAGAATGCAAAGGGGCAGGGCCACAGAAGGGACCACCTGCAGAGACGGCAGACCACCTGCACACTCCCAGGAGCCCTTGCTCCAGGCAGCACAGGTGTAGCTTAGGTTCAAGTGGCCACTGGGCCAGGAGGTGGAGGTGAGCCCGATATAACTTGAGTCAGACAGTGAGATGGTGCTTAGAGCTTTTCTTTTTTTTTTTCCTATTGTTGATTTTCTAGCTTGACTAAAAATTAGTGATTTTTATACTGTAGCAGAAAGCAAAAAAAGCATAAGAGATGCAGGCATTAGCCTTTCCCTGTGGGCCTAGGGTCCCTGGTTTCCTGGACTCTTGCTGGTGCTGTTCTGTTTCCAGCAGCCTTCCCGTGGGACATCTCAGAGGCACATTGATGCTTGGTTGGAATGAGCCATGTGGTCCCCTGCCCAAGAGGTGATGGCCTTAAGGCCAAGCCCACAGGTCAAAGACGGAGGAAAGAAGACAGTGGAGGCAACACAGAGGAGCAGGAGGGGAGAGGCAGGCGGGCACAGGGCCGTGAAGAGAAGAAACCTCTGCCTCCCTGCATGGTGACAGCACCATCTGCCAGGACAGATCCTAATGGGAGGCTGGTTCTTCTGCATCATGTCTGAGCAGGGCCCTGAGGACTTCGGCTGCAGTGGGGGACACTGGTGGCTTCATTCCTGGGTTGGCATGTTGCTCTGACATGTTGGCACCATTTTTCTTTGCAGAGGGCCTCCCAGGAGTTCCAGCAGCGACCCTGACTTCGTGGTGGTGGACGGTGTGCCTGTCATGCTTCCATCCTACGACGAGGCTGTGAGTGGCGGCTTGAGTGCCTTAGGCCCCGGGTACCTGGCTTCTGTGGGTCAGGGCTGCCCTTTACCTGTGGATGACCAGAGCCCCCCAGCATACCCCGGCTCGGGGGACACGGACGTGGGCCCAGGGGAGTCAGAAACCTGTGACAGCGTCTCGGGCTCATCCGAGCTACTCCAGAGTCTATATTCACCTCCCATGTGCCAAGGGGGCACCCATCCCGCTTCTGACAACCCTGACACAATCGCCAGCACGGCGGGGGAGGTGGCATCCACCAGCCCAGGCATCGACATTGCGGATGGTAAGTGTTTGCCCCAAGGCCTGAGCACCCTAGCACACACCTCCCCACCCAGCATGTGGCATCTTCAAGCCAACACACAGCCAAATCAGCCCGTTTCCCTCTCGCTCAGCTTAAATTGCTTTTTGCTCCCTCTGCACACAGAGGCCATGGGCAAGACCAATTAGTGGAAGGAGTGATCATCATCTCACCAGTGATGAGCCCATTAACTGAAATTTCAGGAGGCACAAAAGGGCACCGAGCCTTCCAGAGCACAAAGGCTCCGGTGGCCGGGACTTGTTTTTTCCTAGCATCTTTATGATCCAGGATGCTTTTCTTCTTTATCCCTTGATTAGGCAGGACTTCTGAAAGTGGTGCCTAGGATCAGGGTAACACACACGCGTGCCAGGAGGAAAGACCCAGATGCGTGCCCTAGGGCCTGGTGCGGGCGAAGTTCTGTGTACACGCAGGGTCTTTTTACCAGGTATGAAGTAAAAGATGTCTGTGCACCTGTCGCAGGGAAAGCAGATTGTAGCTCGTGGTGATGTAGGAAAAATCCGTCAGACCAAACAGGGTTCTGTTTCCCAGGGGAGGGGGCACCAGCCCCGCTTTACAACTGAGATACAAATTCCAGCTTGTAGCGACAGTAAGTGACAATAAAGATGTAGAAAACAGGGATCTCCTGGTTCCCCACTGAATTCCTTTTCTGCAGCTTCTCTGCACCTCTCTTGGCTTGTTATGCCCAGTAGGGCACATGGTTCGAATCTAGCATTTTTGCTTTTTTGAGCTGGGTCTGAGATTTTCCAGCCAATAGATGTATGGAGGAGTTGGCTTATTTGATTATTGACTGATATGTGGAACTTTTCTAACCTTTTCTTCTTCTCCTCACTGATTTCAGGGATCGTAGGTATTTCTCATAAAGCTCATAATTTCAGATCGTTGCGGTGTCTCGCAGTGTACTAAATGACGCCCACCTCTTCTTCTACAGAGATCCCTCTAATGGATGAAGACCCGTAGCCAGGCCACGTCCGGATGATTCCGCTGCCCCTTTCGGACCAGGAACCTCCTTCCTTGGAGTGAGGCAACAGCAAGACAGAGCGTGGGGGATGGGGAAGTGTTCCAACTTATCTACATGGGGACAGTGACTCACATCGTACATCACAGACTCAACAGTGGGGGACAAACACTGACAAACTGCAGTGGCAGCTCTTTTAAATGGGACCTGAGGATTTGCCAAGACCAACGGGAAATACAGGGATGAGGGGAACTCGCCCCGTGCGGTCCTGGATGAAGAGGTCAAGTGTGTCTCGTGTTGGGGAACATGAGACAGTTCCACGCACACGCCACTGAATCCTGCGCCCCGTTGACTCATGTCATGAGTACTACCTGCCTCCCCTGAAAGCATGTCACATTATGTAAATTCGCTTCTAAAATCTGCTTCAAACTGTCTCTGGACTCCAAATTAGGATGGACCAGCCTCTGCCGGAAGTCTAGGTTGAGCTGCACGAAGAGCCACAGAGCGCCCCCTGGAGGCTTGCAGAGGGAAGGTTCTCGTGCGCCTTGTGGACAATTCTACTCAAGACCAAGACTGAAAAAACAGGATGTGGCAGTTCCAGCGGGAAAAGAAAGACTCAGGCGGACTCTGCTTTTTTGGACATTCCTTCAAAAAGGAGAGTTCATGTACTTCGTGTTGCCCTTTGGTGAAATAGCATCAGTATTTGTGTTCATGGTCTAGCGCCTGGATCGTGGCATTGGATAAACCTTGTGACTTTACAAGTGGTCAGAATGTGTTCAGATACATCTCATGGTGGAGAAAGTGACCAAGGTAATGTTTGGTTTCGGCATTTTAAAAAGATTCCATTTGATAATTTATCTTAGCGTCATGAGCCCTCTCTCATTAACGATTATGATGGCTGCCCTCGCTCCCAAACTCAGCCATATTTTTATTTTCCAAAACAGAAATTGTTTCTGTAAACGCATTCCTCCTCCAAATAAAGTATGAGGTTGGATTTATTTTTCCCCCCCTTTTATTTTGTTCTATAACGCCTGCAGGCCAATCCTGCATTCCTATAGTGAGATGCCCCGGGTCCCACTGCGTATTGTTCCAAAAAAATGAATGATTAAAAAAAAAAATTACCCCGAATCCTGAAGTGTCTCTTCAAATACATGTTGATCTGTGGAGTTGATTTGTTTCTTCCTCTGGGTTTTAGACAAATATAAACAAAACTCTGATCCATAAAATTGCTATATGCTGATAGAGTTGTGAGAGCTGGAAGCGTGATCAAATCCTGTTTTTTCTTAACACCGACTGATTAAAAATTAAAAAGAAAATGTCAGTTTGAAGCGTGACTTTCATAGTGGAGTGGAGTTGGGTGGGCAGGGAGGGGCCGTGACATTGATCGTGGGTGACGGAGATGAAGTGTAGGACTAGAACCTGATGCTAGCGGAGGTAACTGGAAAGTGCCTGCCTAGCCCGGTGCCCCGGGCAGCGAGGGACAGCACCGTCAGTTCAGTAATTATAACTTTGTCCAGTGATGGCCTCACCTGCCACTGGCATAACTGTGTTCCACAAGCCCCATAGAAGGTGCTGGTTCTCACGAGTACTTAAACCCCCCCCTGGCATGCTCAGAGAGAGATGGCATGGGCGGCTGGGTGGGATTGGGGGTCCCGGGCTCACTGTGGGCAGCCTCCCCAGGCAGCCTTCCTAGGACCCCTGTTGGACCAGGTCTCAGGTCTTCTCCATGCCTGTACCTGTCCTCCTTCCCATGCCCCCTACATGGAGGGCATGTCTCAGAGACCGCCAGGTAAGTGCCTCATTTCCTACCAGACAGGTGGGAAGAGGCTTGTGAGGCTGTCTCTGAGCCTGGTCTCACCTCTTTCCAGAAAACGTTCTCCCTCCCAAAGTAGAGTACAGCAGCATGCAGCCCCCTTACCTGTGAGCTGAGTACATACACTGATGCATGTCCAGCCCCCGCACCGGAAAGACAGGTCCCACAGGTGCCACACAGGTCCAGGTGTTCATGTCAGCGTTGTTCTAAGGATAGCGGCCAGTACAGAGGAGCTGCCTGCTTAGGGGCAGAATCAGACAATGTCTTACCAAGTCACCTGGACCCTCCCCTTGGTCCCTTCAGTTTGGGGCCACATCAGTGTCTCACCCACAAATATTTATGGAGATACATTTTTTTTTTCATTATAGTGAGCTGATGTCGTGGAAAAGAACCCTTGTGATAGCCCAAGCTGTCATGAGTCTGACTCTCTTTTCATTTCCAAGTCGCAGGAGGCCCTCTGGGTAAGAGCGGAATCAATCTCTTTCCCTACCTCAGAAATTAGTAGGTATCAGACCAAACAGGCCACATTGGGACCTGTGCCCAGAGGTGTGATGTGGAGGGAGAACCAGCCCTGACACAGGTGCTTTCTGCTCTGGGAAGGGAAGCACCTCAGGCCCCTGGTCAGGAGCCTGCACTTGAGAACCCCAGGTGTCCGTTGGGGTCAGCATGAGGTGTTTACATAAGTCTGTATTTTAAGGAGCCTCAGAGCTGCACTTTTCTGGCTGACTTGCTCCCTCTCATAAGCACTGCAGAAGTCACAGGACATCTTCACACTTCACTTCCATGCAGCTTTTGTTAATTGCAAGGTTGTAATTTGCTGGTGTGGGATCTTTGGAGCCTTTGCCACCTCGTTACCCCCTCCCCAGCAGCTGGCACACGGACAACCTGCAGAAGTGTTTTGCCCCTGGCCACACAGCAGGCCAGGCCAGTGGGAGCCAAATGCAAAGGCTCGCAGGCCACAGCCTGCTGGGTCAGGTGCATCGCCCACTCCTTTGCTCGGCCCTCCATGACCAGCAGTGCTGGGCAGCCCTCCTCCCTGCTATGGTGTGGGTCTCTGGGAGAGCCTGGGCTTTGCAAAGCTTCAAAACCTGCCTCTGCCACTAACTGGCTGTGTATGTGAGCTAGTTATTGTCCTTCCTGGGCCTCAATTTATTTCTGTAGAAATTAGAGATGGTTTCTCTCTGCCGTCCTTCCTGGGCTGTGTTGAAGATGACAGCCGATGTAAGTCACATGGCACAGTAGGCATTTGGTAAGTGGCAGATGGTCTCCACTTGTTGCCCAGTGTAAAGGAGGGTGCCATGTGGGTGATTAACTCAGGCATGTGTCCCTGGGCACCTCTGAGCTGCCTTGGTCCCTGCCATTCTCGGCTGTGCTGGCAGGCGAAGCTGGTTAGGGGCTGCCCCCAGTGGACGGACTGAAACGGGCTCTGTTCCTTTCCCCTCGGACCTCTGCCCAGACGCTCCCTCCTTGGCTTGTATACGCTAAGCTTTCTGTGCAAAGGGAAATTGTCAATCCTAGGCCCTTGGGCATCTGCCCTCCCTCACACACAGCCCTCTCGGAAAGCCACGGGAAGTTCTGCTCAGGGAGGGCAGGGCCACCTCAGAAATGTCCCCAAGGACGCTGAAGGACTCGGGTCAGCTCCACAGGCAGCCCTGGAGATGAACACAAACCTGCTTCCCTAATTTTATGGTCTGTGTTGGATTTAACACATAAAAGTTAATGCCCGTGCATGTCCAAGGTGATAAAGAGGGACATCCACGGTAAAGATGCCTGTTCTAGCAGAACAGGGCCCCAGAGAGCAGCCGTCACTTGTCAGGGAGAGCGGATGCTGAGCATGATGGCATTGAAATCATAAAGCTGAACTCAGCGTATGCGGTGTCAACACGGTTGTGTTTAACTGCTGCGGCAGGCAGTGTACTGTCTCCACACTGGGCAGAAAACGGTCTAAATTCTGAAATCAGAAACCTGGGGACCAGCAAGGCACCGTGTGAGTGCCCAGCTGTCTGAGTAGGAGCCACGAACCTGCCATGCTCAGAGCCCGCGGAAACCCTGGGCCCTGGTCCTCCAAGGCCGTGGGATGAAGACACCCAAATGCCAGCAGATAAGAGTTTGGGGCAAGGGGAATGGGATGGAGCCTGAGGGACTGAGGAGACTGATATTTCTGCTTGGAGCCTACAAGCAGTAGTTGTAGACCCTGTTACAGTCAATAAGCATTTACTAAGCACCTGTTGTGTGCCAGGCTGTGCTTGTTGTTTCTATTCCGGTGGGAAGTGAGGACTGGTAAACAGACGGCTACACACTGCGAGACACGAAGCCCAGGACCCTGGCCCCAGGCCTGGGCTCCCAGGGGGGCTGCCTGTAGGCAGGGGCAGACAAGCTGGGAGCCAGCAGAGTAGAGAGCTGGGGCAGGGGGGGCGGGTGGAGAGTGGTTCTGTGCTTTGGGGGCCTCGAGGCCTGGGGTGAAGAGCAGGCTGAGAGGAGAGGAGATTGGGCCGAAAGGGAGAGAGATGGGACAGGAGAGGCGACTCAGGGCCAGACACTAGAGGCCTGGGTGCCATGTTCAGGAGGTAAGTGGTCCCCTTAGGAGAATGAAAAGCCACCAAAAGATCTGAAGCAGAGATGTGCAAGGGGTGAGATGGGGAGAAGTGAGCGGGTCTGGGGGCTCTTTTGCAGGCCCACTTGATTTTGTGGAGCTCAGGCCTAGGTGTCAGGGACAACCCAACACAGCCTGGGGCTGCCACTGTGTCACTGGGGGACCCCTCTAGGCCCCGGGGTCCTCATCGGTACCGTAAGAGGGCAGAACTGATGGTTTCAAAGATCGCTTCCAGCTCTAATGGGGTGAAAGTTCTCTTTCCTTTTTTTTTTTTTTAATCCAGAGTCAATTCCCTGCTTCCTTTCTCCCCACCAACAGCACCTGATGCTCCTCCCAGCTCCTCCTCCCACTGGGCACCTGGGGCTCAGCAGCAGCCGCACCCCAGCATCCCCGTTAGGAGGGGTGCTACCCTCTAGAGACTCTTCAGCCACCTCCATCAAGAGGAGGGTGGGGACAAGGGACACCAGCCACAGCAGTTCTGGCCTCTTGTGGCAGTTTCTGTGCCCCCTGGGCCAGAAGGAACACGTGCTAACGGTAACCCTCCTGGAGCCCCAGCAAATCTGTTAGACTGAGTTTGTCCACACATTCTTGATAATTGTGTAGCATTTCCTGTTCTATGAAGCATGTGCACCTGCTGTGTGTTTTGGGGGGGGGATGAGAAGGAAGCAGGCATCTTCTAAATCTGTCCTCACGGATATCATGAGATGTGGGAGCAGATGCCCTATAGAAAGCCATCTACAAGTTCCGCTCTGACACCCCACAAACCATCAGAAGGGCAAAGCCATCAAGAGTGACATTAGGGGCCGGCTGAATGGCTCAGCTGGTTAAGAGCGTGAGCGCTGAGCAACAGAGTTGCCGGCTCAATTCTCACATGGGCCAGTGAACTGTGCCCGAGCTGAGCTGCCGCTGAGCCGCAACAGGTGGGAGGATGGCTCAGCTGGTGAGAGCACGTGCTCCTAACAACAAGGTTGCCTGTTTGACTCCCGCATGGGATGGTGGGCTATGCCCACCTGCAACTAAGATTGAACACGGCACCTTGAGCTTAGAGGCCACGAGCTGCCAGCAGGTGGCCAGGTGGCGGCTGGACTTGGAGCTGAGCTAGCTGCACCCTCCACAACTAGGATTGAAGGACAACAACTTCCCCATTTCCCCAACATTGTTCCCCTTCCCCAGTTCTCCAATAAAATAATTTAAAAAAAAAAAAGTGACATTAGTCTGGCATGACTTATTCTTTGTTCATTTATGGTCTTACAGTGGTTTTTATCAACCACCACTTTTAGATCTGAGGACTAATAAGCCCTCTGTTGAGTAATTGAATCAGATGCTTATCTAAAACCACTGAATTCACAAGTTCATAGGTCACAAGCCTACCTTCTCTATTTTAGTCAAATACTATCTCAGACGAACATGTCCAGCCTCTCAGGAGCGCTCCAGCCCCCACTGTTCCTTATGGGTCCCTGATGCTGGGTGAGCAATACCAGCTTCGGGTTTCCTGGGGGCCCAGAGTGGGCACTTGGGCAGCGTTGTCAACTGCTTAAACTCCTGCCCATTGAAATTCAACAGACCTGGGTTAAAATGTCAGCTCTGTCACTTACAGAAGAAAATTCGGGCAAGACCACTGACACTTAAGCCTCACATCCTTCACCTGTGCCGTGAGGGCATTGACAGCACCCATCTCATAGTCTGCTGTATGGCTTAAACACGATGATGCTATAGACTGCTTAGAACAGTGCCTGACATGGAGCAAACTCTCAGAAACGGTAGTCTTTCTTTTTCTGTAATTCAAGGGAATCAAGAAGTACCCCCTTTTGCTTCGTCTCCTGTCAGCCCTACACTATCCATTGGGGCAGCAGGGTGCCAGCTCCCCAGGAACAGGGTCGCCCTCCTGCTGCCAGGTCCACTGTG